CATTGTCGCGTTATAAAGCTATTTTGGGCTCCGTTGTCCAGCAGTGCACGGACGCTTTGTTCGTTTCCACGCGAATCCCTAACCAAAATACGTGCCGTACTCAGAACACGGTTGAAAGAGGTTGTGCTCCCATATTTGCCAATGAGCACAGAGCGACATCACTAGGTCGACCGCTAGAATCGTTGACTTCAGTAGGGGTGAATTCCTTGTCCGCTTTACTTGACGCCGATATGTTTCCTGGCGCACTTGCTACATACGGAACTAGAATTGCATTTTGCAACTAAATGCTTATCGCTTAAGCAGTTCAGACATAGGTTGTTTGTCTTTACCATTTTATAACGCTCGCTTGGTGAATATTTACGAAAAGTCGCACAATTGTATAAATTACCGTGTTTATCTTTGCATATGATACAGGCATGCTGAAGTAGTGCCGACGTAGCGGTTACGTACGTTAACGACCCTGCTGTTTTAGGTGGTTGAGTCTGTCTACGGTCGACGCACCTTTTAATCTCCTGTTTAACGTTCGGGGAGCGCTGCATCACCTTTATTTGATCTCGCACAAACGATGCTAATGAATGAAAGGATCCATTTCAAACGCACGCACGGTGTCGGGGTCAAATTTCTTTAGTGCAATATGGAGAAACACCACGTCCATAAAGTCATTAAATTTCAAATTCTTAAGTGCAGCCACCGATGCCACAAATTTATCTAAAAACTGCTCTAAGCCGTTGATGTTCGCGGATGATATAGGTTTAAGATCGAATATCTGGTTCAAATATTCGGAAGCTAACATTCTCCTATCTTCATATTTAGTTTTAAGCGTTTCGAATATTAACAAGTAATTATATAGTAAAAATAGGTGTAAAACCCGAGCAAATTGACTGTGCCCTGCCACTAAGTTTACTAATTAAATAATATAATTTTTCAGCGTCCGATAACGATGGGTTATTATGTATATTGTTTTGAAAACTACTGAAGAAGAAGGGCCATGTCTTAATATCCCCATTGAATACCGGAATATCTATTGGCGGCAACCTAATTGAGTCACGTGGGCGTACCTGTGTTTCCGGCTTTGCTTCGTTTTGAGCTGGAGACTGTAAGAGTTTCGCCGTTCTTTTCACGCGACACAACATATCTTCAAATGCCAGAAGCGGTTGGTAGTTCACTATATATGTCGGGTCGATTTGTAATTCTAAATGATTAATTTGGTCTAATATTCTTTCGTAATCCGTCCGCAAAGAATCCACCGTTTCAATTTCATTTAACAAAGTTTCCCGCACTGCATCTACATTAATGTTCTTTATGTGATCACTAATACTTTGTATACGTGAAAAAAGTATGTCCCTCTTGGCATAAAGCGTTTTAATTTTGATTTCATTTCCACTAACTGCCATTTTAAATTATTATAATAAAATTATATTAATCACAATTAATCTCACAACGTTGGAGGATGGACATTCGCGCCGTATTACGTCATTAAATTGAACACAATTGAGTCATTAAATTGAACACCTGTTACAGCGAGCCGAGGTGACGCGCGTCGCTCGCTAAACTCAATATATTTTTATCAAAATTGTCGGGTAAGCGTACAAAACACGTGTGATTACACTATTTCAATTAATTAAGCGACTAATAAGCTTTAAATTTAAACCAAATACAAACACTATTTAAATGAAAATTCTATTTGCGAGTCTATTGTGAAGAGTCAAAATGTGTCGAAAAAGGCACGTATGGCAATTCACAATGCTGTGTTGGTTCCTACTTTAACGTATGGTAGTGAAAGTTGGGTGTGGCAGAAGAAGCACGAGAGTAGAATAAACGCAGTAGAAATGCGGTCGTTAAGGAGTATGTTAGGGCTGAATCTGAATGACAGGGTAAGAAATTGTGTAATAAGAGAAGAGTGTAGTTTGCAAGATGATGTTGTGACCAGGATTAAGAAAGGAATGCTTCGGTGGGTTGGTCATGTGGAAAGAATGGATGAGGAAAGAGTGACAAAGAAAATTTATGGTGCAGAAATGAATGGCAGAGTCGGAAAGGGACGTCCTAGGCGAAAATTTATCGACCAAATTGGCGATTTATTGAAAATTTTTGAATTATTCCAAATTAGGAGTACCCTTAACCGACGAGCATGTATGCGTAGGTGTATGGATGTGAAGGAGGCAAGAGAGGTGTGTCAGGATCGTGCCAAATGGAAGTCTGTAGTCTCTGCCTACCCTTCTGGGTGACAGGCGTGAGTGTTTATGTATTATGTATATGTATTTCTTAAAACACAAGAATACAAACGGCGATACGGCATACCCGTAGGTAGGAGGTGTAGCAATATAGAAACCAAAATTTAAATTTAAACGAACACTATTTAAGTCTATTCCATAAATTAGAGTGCATTATCTAAATAATTAATCTAATAATTCGACCAGAAAATGGTTGAACGACTACTAAACACCAGTCCAAATCCTGCCGAAGTGACCATAAAATGGTGGAGCGACGAGCCTAAGGCTACCGAAGTCCAATTCCCCGGTCGAGCCTTAAACCTATTACGCGAGATATTAACCAAAGTGGACTGTATACGCGAAATGATTCTACGTTTACGTAAAATGGCGACTATAGCACGCGGTTTCCCATACAATGCACTCGCTCTTCCTTAAAATGAACTATTATATGCCAAATCTATGAAAAGAATCCTGCTTGGTTAGGAGAAATTAAATTGGAGCGGATTAACTATTAAACACAATTATATCAAGCAGGAACTATTAAGAATGTTCACTCACCGGGGTGTTGCTTCTATGCGGCTTGGGCACTATATTGTTGCGACTTCTGGAAGACACTCTGGGTAGACTCTCTGGGGCCCCAGCCTTTCTTGTCCGGTGATACGTTGGGAGAGAGTGCGGTGCGCGACTATTTCTCACACGAGGTGAGGCGGGTTTCCTGGAGCTCGACTGCTTCAGACTAAGCGGTTATACTAGCGGTGCGCGTGGGCAATAGCCCTTCTATTACACTATTGTCTTAAGCGGTGTGGTTCCAACGACGAGCGCGGCGGGAAGAGGCTGCGCGTTGGCCGCGCGTGCCTTTTATTCCTTCGGTTGCGATGATTACGTGATATTCTAGAATCATCTTCTTTCCCCTCCCACCCCACCACCCGGATGTGTCGATAGGAGGGTATGAATGATATCGTTTGGAAAGGGATAAACGATTTGGCAAGCCTACCGTCAAATAAATAAATACGAATGGTTTTCCGCGCAACCAGCTATGTAGTACTATTATTTATTCTGTGACAAAGGCATTTCTGTGGTCTGTGGTTTTCGACTATTATAAATAACTTCGGCTTTCAATGTGATGATATCTTTGAATAATCTGATCACGTCTACGTGATCAAACGTCACAGGGAGCATCTTGTTGAGATTACGTGGCACGAAAGTTGGGATGTTATCAGAGGGTCGGTCTCATTGCACAGCCTGAAAAGGTCTTTCTTACCGTGTCTATCCCTGTGACGTGGGATAAGACGGATTTTGCTCGCGGCTGAGTCTGCTAGCACCTTCGCTTGGATGATCTCTTCTTCGGTGAAGTCAGTCATTAGAATCTGCTCCACCGATACCTGGTCCATGATGTCCAATTTTTTTAACACAGACCAGGAACTTGTGAACTACGACGATATCGTAGTTCACAAGTTCCTGGTCGGTAGTGTTAAGCGATAGCATGGCGGATGTGTGTCATGCAAACATTAACTGCGTATATTAAATTCGTATAACTATGACAAATTAATTTTACAAGTGCTAAAATATTTTCAATAGTGACAGTGACCTCTAATCTCCACGTGTAAGTGAAATTAAACTGTTTCAAACAACCAGTGAATATATAAATTGTTAATAAACATACCGAGTATACACAACAGTCATTAATAATGGCTAAAATACCATAGTTCTTAATAATAAAATAAGTTTATCGTGATATATGAGCAAAAATCAAGCACCTTAAACCGAAACTACGTAAGTTTACTTAAAAAAACACTAAACAAATTGTGTACTAATATTAAAGAAAGACTTTGATTTTTAATACTGACGGTGAATCGAAAAGTATCCGACGACAAAATTACCGGTCTAATTACAAACTCTCACTGAGTTTGACAATATACACAGCATATTACTCAAATACGCCAATATAATTTAATGTAGTGATGGCGTAGTGGTTTCGCCGTTCGGTATCTCACTCGATTCCTGAAGTGTAGACGGTTCAAATCAAGTCGGATAAACAAAGCGTATGTTAGTAGTTAGTGGTTCCATCTGTTGGAAGCTGAAACCAACTACTAACAACATATTTCCTTATTACACATCTGTACGAACCAGGTGGCTCTTTCTTGTGGTCCCACTCGTTTCGAACAGATGGCGCTTTACTGACAACTGTAATGTAAGTACCTAGTTTAACTTGTTGCCACGAGAGGGCATCTCTTATTATATGTATGAAAAGAACAGTGTTCTAGATTTTGCGAGTAGTCGTCCATGGATAGCAGAATAAACGATACGACAATAAAATCACGAGTTTCCCTGCGCATCCTCAATAATTTTATATTGGTGACCCTTTCTCCCGTCCAAGGATTAATAAAACACAGAAGAAATAGAGTGCAAACACGAAACCGAACCGGCCATTTGAAAAATCAAGAGCGCAACGGAGATATTTTTTCATCGGAAGACGTGGTGCACGGCTAGGGGCCAGAGATAGCCTGGGACCTGATGTCCTTCTGTGGATCTTCGGAGCAACCCCATATTTGTTGAGGACGAGGCGGACAGGGACGGGGAAACTACGAAAAACGGCATTTACCAAGAACTTCGTCTGTGTCGATGTTGATCGACATAACCTACCAATAGGCCACGCGGTGGCCACAAACAACCAACATTCACCAGTGACATCGAAGAATAAGATAAGTAGCTTTGCCTATCTAAGTAGTGAGCTTTTTTTATACCTGTGTAGTACTGATTATCTCAAAACCAAAGTTCTTTTGTACTACAATGTATGAGCCAGTAGTCGATTTGAAGGAATTAGTTAAAAAACGGGGGATTATCAAGGGGAAATTAACCCTTTTTGTCAAATATCTTAATGCGATTGAGGGCCCTCTTTCTGCTGAAAAATACATCGACTTACAGTTACGATATTCTAAGATAACTAAAATACTTGTTGATTATGAAAATATCCAAGATTTAATAGAAACTGCTTGCACGGATTATGAAGTACAACTTCAGGAGAGAGAGGCCTTTGAGAACAACTATTATACCAATGTTTCTTTGTGTAAAAAACTAATGCAAGAATTTGAAAATAGCAAACCACAGACAGCGCCACCCTCGTCTAATAGTAGTGACAAACCACACTCTAATTCTGTAAAATTACCTGAAATTAAGTTACCAACGTTTGATGGAAACGCTACCAATTGGTTGGAATTTAGGGATCAATTTGATGCCGTTGTTAATGACAGTAACATAAAACCTATATTAAAATTGAAATACCTACGAGGATGTCTGACCGGTTCTGCTCTTAACGTAATATCTTCGTTGGACTATTGTGAAGAAAGCTATGCCATCGCTTGGCGATTACTCTGTGAGCGTTACAATAATCCCAAGGTACTAGTCACTAATCACTTGCGAGAACTCTTAAGTATTGAAACAATTCAATCAACGCCATCAGCTTTGAGAACATTAGTTGATAACCTGTCGAAGCATCTCAGAACCTTAAACAAGTTGTCGGTTAACACAGAAAACTGGGATGTTATATTGATTTTCCTCTTGAGTTCTAAACTTGATAAATTCTTACACCGTAAATGGGAAGAAAAAACCAACTCACGTGAATTGCCTAATTTACAGGATTTCAAGTCTTTTCTGCGCGCTCAGGCTGACCTGCTGGAATCCCTGGGTTCTGACAGGCCGGATGAGCAACCGGAAGCGAATGGAACAAGGAAGGCCTTGGTGATCGCGTCCTCCCCGGGTCATGGTACATCTCCAAAACCATCCCCTAAACCTAAGGTATTTAGCAATCAATGCCCTTATTGTAAAGAGTCTCATTACATTCAATACTGCCCGAAGTTCTTGGCCCTAAATGTGACGTCACGCCTTCGCGCAGTCCGAAAAATAGGCCTTTGCATAAATTGTTTGGGAGCGAACCACATCGTAGCAAACTGCCGGGCGAGTCTTTGCCGAACCTGTAAAGGTAAACATCATACACTTTTACATATAGGAAATTCCCATCATGCTAATAACCAATCAAACAACCAAGGTCAACAGCAACCACTAACTACGTTGTACACTAACCCACAGCCCGCCACAAATACAACTCCAACATCACGTATTGAGAACCCACAACAATCGGTTAACTTGCATACCAGCCGTAATATTGTTTTAACACAACCATACCTACAACAAACTGTTTTCTTATCTACAGCATTGATTGATGTACTCGACGTCAATAATCACCAGCACACTTTGCGTGCACTTCTCGATTCGGGCTCGCAATCCAACTTTATAACGGAGTCGGCTTTTAAAAGGTTGAATTTACCTAGAAATAGTGTAAACATAGAGGTTTTAGGGTTTAACGAAAGCGTGACCCAGATTAATCACAGTTGTCAACTGACAACTCAATCCAATCAAAATGTGAAGCATTTTCTACCAATTTGTCCTTCTTCATTGTGCCTATGATTTGCAAACTGCCTTCTTATGTCGAAAGTGTAAAACAACTTAATATCCCACATAATTTTCGAATGGCAGACAAAACCTTTTATCAAGGCGGTGATATCGATATGATATTAGGTGTCGAGATATTTTATGATCTTTTGTCCAATAACCAGTATAGATTAGGCGTAGGGTTGCCAACTTTACAAAAAACACGATTGGGCTGGATCGTGTCGGGAACGGCCTATGTACCTTCTAGCCGTAGGGCTGTTAGATGCAATTTTGTTCAAACCAGGAACCCAAACTTTGGTGAATTTAGTAGTACAACAGAGTTTCCAGATGATGATATTGCTCAATGTGAAAAGGTATTTGAGACCCATTCACGCACACCTGATGGAAACTTTGTGGTAACCATTCCGTTAAAGGAACCCATTTCTTCGTTAGGTCATTCCAAACCCGCTGTATTTAAACGTTTCAAATCGTTAGAATCCAAATTTTCTTGCGACCAAGGTTATAAGGAAAAATATGTCAGGTTTATGCAAGAATTTGAACAATCAGGGCATATGATTAAACGAGACTCAAATGAGCCCTGTAACTACCTACCTCACCATGCTGTGGTTAACCTGGAAAAGGAAACCACACCCCTTAGAGTCGTAATAGATGCATCCCATAAAACCAGCTCAGGGAGATCCCTTAACGACATACAATATAAAGGTGCAATGAACCAGGACGAATTAATTAATATTATGATGAGATTTCGAAAACATAAATTTGTTATTTGCGCGGATATCGAAAAAATGTATCGTATGATTTTTGTCAACCCTAACCAACACAACCTGCAATGTATCTTATGGCGCGAAGACCCTAATCACCCGCTGCACACCTACACACTAACTACACTCAGTTTCGGTTTGAAGTGCGCACCGTACCTTGCCACTCGATGTCTACAACAACTCGCGCATGAATTTCGGGAACAGTACCCGGAAGCGGCGACTGCAATATTAACCAATTTCTATATTGACGATTTAGTTCATAGTGGAGATGACGCTCAGAAGGTTGCCGAAACGGCTATTCAAATCGACAGAATATTACGGACCGCGAACTTCAAACTTAGAAAGTGGAAATCGAATTCGGAGGCCATTATAAAGATTGTTAATAAAACCGACGACACACACACTAGTTCACAAACATATGACTCGCAACACACTAGTACAAAACTACACACAGAAAACCCACATAAGGTTTTAGGCCTACAGTGGTGTAACCAAAGCGACTTTATAACGTATTCGTTCATTGACAAACTGACTAATTATTCGTTAACCAAAAGGAAGGTATTATCTGTTGCCTCTGCAATATTTGATCCACTGGGTTTAATTGCACCAATTTTAATAACCGCGAAATGTTTCATAAAAAAATTATGGCAAAATAACATCGGCTGGGATGAGGAACTACCTCTTTCTCAAGAGGAAGAATGGCGTGATTTCTATAATAGCCTGTTTATAGTAAACTCTTTAATGATACCTAGACACGTTATCATCCCTGAATCTGTTTTGATAGAACTGCACGGCTTTGCGGACAGCTCAATGACCGCGTACGGGGCAGCTATGTACCTACGGTCTATAGATGCCAACGGTAACGTATTAGTGCGTTTATTATGCGCGCAAACGAGAATCGCTCGTGATGAAACTATACCTAGATTAGAGTTGAGAGCAGCTCATTTATTAGCCAACTTAATGCACAAGGTTCGTCATGTTTTGGATCTTCAATCGTCCAAAATGTTTTTATGGTCCGATTCAAATATTGTATTGGCATGGATAAAGACAAATACGCCTTCCAAATTGATACCATTTGTAAAAAATCGAGTAATCGAAATTATAAATTACACCAAATCGGACGACTGGCATTGGGTTCCGTCCGCTGATAACCCAGCTGATCTTTTATCTAGGGGTGTTCCAGCGGCTAAGTTGGCACAGACAACCATGTGGTGGCAAGGCCCTACGTGGTTGTCACAACCTAATATTGATAACTGGCCGCCTCAGAATGAATGTAATTACCAACATAAGGTAGATATTATTTCTTGTGTTACTACGGAACCCCAATCACTTTCATTCATGGAAAAATTGTTTAAAAAATACTCAACATATGAAAGGTTGTTACGAGTTTTTGCCTATGTACTTAGATTCTTAAATAATGTAAAAAACAAGGACAAATGTTTAGGTGTCCTCTCGGTTGACGAGTTGAAACAATCTCACGATAAACTTATCATGTTAGCTCAGAGCGAATCCCTTCCAAATGAATATCTCACATTAAAGAAAGACAAACCACTGCCACAGACGTCAAATATATTATGCCTAAAACCTTATATGGAAAATGGTCTACTACGAGTGGGTGGACGCATTGAAAACTCTCCATATTCTCACGATAAGAAACACCCTATATTGTTACATAACCGACACATACTTACCAAGCTTATAGTTCAGTCATACCACATAAAGCTCATGCATGCTGGGCCGCAGTTACTTCTGGCATCGATTCGCGAACGCTACTGGCCTATCCATGGTAAGAGTTTAGTAAATAAGGTGACACGCGAATGCGTCACGTGCTTTAGGGCCAAGCCCAGGCCTAGCGCCCCAATTATGGGTGAACTGCCCGCATCTCGCGTTACCCCCTCCCTTCCGTTTTCAACAACAGGGGTAGATTATGCAGGGCCATTTAATTTGAAGACCTGGAGAGGACGTGGGGCCAGGACTTACAAGGCGTATGTCGCATTGTTTGTTTGTTTTGCTACCAAGGCAATTCACATTGAGTTGGTTACAGGTCTTGACACCCAGTCGTTTTTAGCTGCCTTCCGAAGGTTCGTCTCCCGTAGAGGTAAACCACAGCAAATGGTGAGTGACAATGGTACCACATTCCAGGGCGCTAGCAACCAGATAAATGAAATCTACCAATTTTTAAGGGACAGTTCAGACGAAATTATGACCTCACTTAGTAACGACGGCATCAAATGGAGCTTTTTACCGGTCTACACACCGCACATGGGCGGGATATACGAAGCTGCTGTAAAAAGTTGTAAATATTTTCTAAAAAGAGTTTTAGCTGCAGCACTTCTGACTTATGAAGAATTTGTAACAGTACTTATACAGGTGGAAGGAATTTTAAATTCACGACCATTGTGTCCCTTGTCTAATACAGATATTAATGACTTTTCCGCATTAACACCAGCTCACTTCTTGATAGGTAGGGCTATAACTACCGTTCCCGACTATGAGTACAAGGATGTTCCCGCCCACAGGCTCACGCTGTTCCAGCAGCTACAGCAGCTTCAACAGGACTTCTGGCGAAGATGGTCTCGCGACTACATCGGGATCCTACAACAACGTACCAAGTGGCGGAGCTCGAAGGGCCCAGCTCTCTCCGTGGGCACGATGGTGGTGGTGAAGGATGACCGTCTCCCTCCCTGCCAGTGGAAGCTGGGACGAATCAGACAAACCCATGACGGACGTGATAGTGTGGCTAGAGTCGCGACAGTGTTAACTTCCAAAGGCGAAATAAAAAGATCATATGTTCATCTATGTCCACTACCAATTAATATAGATTAACTATAATGTTAATAAAAAGATACCTTGTACTTCACATAGGCATTTAACTTAAGTTGAATTGGATGTTAAGTAAATTAATTAGCCTAACTACCTAGCGTTTTAGATTTCTGTATTTTTAATTGGTGTGTTCGGTCCAATCTAAGCTTAACCCATTAGCAGTCGCATTACATTTTTGTTAAATTTAATCAATAATGTAGCTTTGGCAAACGTTTACCTATCTGGTTTCTCTTCCTTATTTATTTCTACTCTGTTTTGATTCGCGGTTCAAGTCCGCGATTGTTATTTATAGTTTTGGGTTTGGCCTCTAATGGGTTAAAGTTAGTTTACTTTTTAGCCTAACATGCTGCCATTTAGCTTGTTCACAACATAAATAATGTATCAGCTTACTTGAGTTAGATTTATGCTGGCTGGCAGAATGTTAGTAGTTAGTGGTTCCATCTGTTGGAAGCTGAAACCAACTACTAACAACATATTTCCTTATTACACATCTGTACGAACCAGGTGGCTCTTTCTTGTGGTCCCACTCGTTTCGAACAGATGGCGCTTTACTGACAACTGTAATGTAAGTACCTAGTTTAACTTGTTGCCACGAGAGGGCATCTCTTATTATATGTATGAAAAGAACAGTGTTCTAGATTTTGCGAGTAGTCGTCCATGGATAGCAGAATAAACGATACGACAATAAAATCACGAGTTTCCCTGCGCATCCTCAATAATTTTATATCTTTTTCTACATTTTCAACAAACATTAAGACAGATTTAGTTGTAAGCCAGATTCAGTTCTAAAGGAGACAGATTATAAACGACACAAGATTGAAAACGAATATATAGAAGCAGTAAAGAACTGCGACATCTATCGTAAGAAAAATCTTAAAATATTTTATAAATTATATATAATATCAACGTTAAATTTCTATGATGCCTAACCAAAGTCTTTCAAAAAATAGCAGCCATAAGATGTCATCACTTGTAAGTTGTAATAAATGTAAAAAAACTATTGAAGCTAAAAATTCACTGCTATGTTTTTAATATGTAAAAAATATTCGGAATTTGGCTATTCTGAAAAACTTTATCGCTTAAAGGATAAAGAAAGTAGAAAAAATTGGAAATGTAAAGCATGTAAGCAAATGTCTACTGGGCAATCTACACCTACTGGTGATCCATCCTACGTTACATTTAGAAAAAAATACTCACATAGTTCGAGTGGAAATATGACACCTACAACAGTGGTAGCAAAAATGAGTGAATCGCCGATAAATGACTCCCACATATTAACCACTCTTCACTCATCTGACGATTCCCAGGCTACACCTAGTCAAATATTATCACGGAGCTTTGACTTCACAATTACTGATTCTATTACGGTGCAGGAAATGAAGGACATTATAAATAATTTACGGTCAGAGATCGCAAGTACGCAAAATGAGCTGGATAATACTATAATTGAGAACAACGACCTTCGGAGACAAATCACAAAATTAACACAAGAAAATAACCTACTAAAAACTCTATGTCAATCACCAATAAAGGATATCCAAATGAAACATCAAAACATAATAAAAGAGAAAAATATTCATTCTGCTCACTTCAAAGTTTTATATTCGCCAACCGCTTCTACGCTCTCAAAACTATCTGAAAGGAAAAAAATAGAAAAGGTATTTGATGCGGAGATAGCTATTATCTTAAAAAAAAAGATTTCGGAATTAGAAAAAACTAAAGAGAACGAAATTAAAATTCTTAATGAAAAAATTCAAATGTTGCAACATAAAATATCATCAAAAAATGTAGGGTCTTCAATAAAACTTACACAAGACTCTAATACCGTAATTTCAGACATCAGAAAACAATATGTTAACTGCGATAAAATATTTATCTTTGGCACACAACAATGCATCGGACTAGCCTCTGCTTTAATACGCTCAAGAGCAAATACGACTTATGAAAAATATACCATTTACTCGGAAATAAAACCGTATGCACTTACGCCTGATGTGCTAAAAAATATCCAAAATACACAAGTAGCCTCGAACGATAAAATCATAGTATGTGTGGGAGAAAATGATTACGACCTGAAAATACTATCTTCACAAATATGCACATTAATTAACTGTGTACCAGTTAATTAATGTGCGTATTTGTTAAATAGTATACTAGTCTTAAGTTTGTTTAAAAATAAGTACATATGTGTTAACGATTTAAATAATACTTTAGAAAATATTTGTAATAAATTTGAAAACTGTCATTACGTGAATTGTACGTCCAATAATTTATATTCTATGTGTAAATCAATAAATTCCATAATTGACTATATTGATTATAAGAACAAATTTCTAAGTGCCAAGCAATTAAAAAAGTTTATATTACGCTGTAATAATAAATCGATATTATTATCTGATAAATCTAGCAGCTCCAAATATAAAAAAGCAACAATTCCCTATTATTTTGCTCGAATGCAATAGAGTATAACTGTTTCGGGAGCGACTAATATTAATAATTTTAATGATATAAATACCGCGCCTAAAGGTACAATACCGTATTACTTTAAACTATCAAATAAAAACTATCTTTTTCGTGAATAAGAATACTACAAATAAGATGCTTTTAAAAATATTACATCAAAATATCGCTAGTATATTACCAAAACAAGGTGTATTAATGTTAACATTGGATGAACTAGATAAGGCAGGAAACGCCCCAAATGATAAATGTCTTTCAGAAACTTTCTTGCGTACTGATCATGAAAAATACCTAAACATTAATAATTATGGATTAGCCAGTTCGTTCTGTAGGGATGAGTCTAGAGGCGGTACATGTATTTTAGTGAAGAAAGATATTGCATATTAAAAATTAAATAAGATAAATAGTTTAGCAACGCAAAAGTTATTTGAAGTTTGTGGTATTGAGATTCCTCTTTATAATTTGCTGATAATTTGTCTCTATAGGACTCCCTCTACAGACGCAATTCTGTTTTTGGACAAGTTAGACGGGATGTTACGTGAAATATTTAAAAACAATAATACCAATACTAAACTTGTAATTACTGGTGATTTACATATTAATACTCTTAAACCAGGAAAAGCCAACACTTATCTTCATGATTTATGTCTTAATTACTGTCTTAAAATTCATATTAATGTTCCAACTAGAAAGGAGACATGTATAGACCATATTCTAAGTAATATAGAGAATGCTTCTGCAACAGTACTGCCTTTGTTTCTATCAGACCATGATACAGCTCAGTTATTAAGCTTCCAGGTTCAACAAAATAAATCAATAAACAAGATATGTTTTAAATACAAAATTAAAGTAATGTTCAGAATAAGGAACATATTTAGAAACCGACTTGAACATTGCATTTAATAATTTTTATGATTTATTTTGCTTATTTTATAACCTATGTTTCCCAAGAATAAAAATACTAATACAAAATAGTAATCAAAATAATTGGATTAGTAAAGGTTTGAAAAATAGTTATAGAACAAAAAGAGCACTGCGGTATAATAATAAACTAAAATAAATAAGGATACTTATAAAAATATTCTTATTTATTGAAAAAATGTATCTACCAATTCAAGAAGAATTGTAATATAAAATTTATAAGTAAGAGTAAAAATAAATGCAGAGCAACTTGGTCCGTAATAAAAAAAGAAATTTCAAATACAAAATTGGATAATATTAAGGAGCTAAAACTAAATGATAAAAACTTAACGAACCCTTATGATATAGCAACCGCTTTTAATGACTATTTTATTGACATGACTAATTATATTATAACTAATAATGATAATATGGAAAATATTACACCTAAAAATACAATATCACTATCAAACTCAATGTTTCTTAAACCCATGTCGAAAGATGAGGTGAGTAAAGAGATCATGTCCTTAAATAACACTGCCTCGGAAGGTTACGACGGAATTAATACCAGAATAATTAAAGCTTGTGTATGCGAACTTGTTGACATTATGACTTATTTAATTAATTTATCATTTTTGACAGGAAAATTTCCCGACAATTTTAAAATTTCAATTGTAAAACCATTGCACAAAAAAGGTAAAAAAGACGATATCAACAATTATCGACCGATTACTCTTAAACCCATAATATCAAAAGTTTTTGAGAAATGTTTTTATAAGAGATTAATGGAATTTTCTGAGAGGTGTAACATAATCAAAACAGAACAATATGCCTTCCAGAAAAAGAAATCTACAACGCTAGCAACTTTTAATCTTATAAAAAAAATAATTTCTAGCATAAATAAAAACCTACTAACAACAGGATTATTCTTTGATTTATGTAAAGCCTTTGACTTTGTCACACATGGTTTTCTTTTAAGTAAACTAGATTTGGTTGGAATTAGAGGGATAGCTCTAGAGTGGATTTCATCTTATTTATCAAATCGACGGCAGTGTGTCGTTATTGATAAAATGGTAAAAAAATGAAATATTATCCTTCTCATCTAAGTACAGAGAAAAAAAATATTGTGTTCCTCAAGGTAGTGTTTTAGGGCCGGTATTATTTCTTTTATACATAAATGATATAACTCTGGCGACAAATCACAAATGTATATTGTATGCGGACGATACTTTCGTAGTTGTAACATCTCAAAAAACAGTAATTCATTACATAATCATGAAAAGGAAATAAATGATACAATCGATAATATAACTAATTGGCTGCATAGAAACAATATGAAAATAAACCTAGATAAATCAAATTACATACATTTTAATAAAATAAAAACTAATTCTTGTCTAAATATCAATAAAATTAAGGAAATAGAACTTAAATTTCTTGGTGTAATTATAGATCGAAATTGAGACTGGAAAATACATATAGATGACCT